GGTGCAGTGCCATGCTCCGTATATAAACGATACATAAACCGACTGTTAATTTTACGGGCTATTCATGCCCGTGCCACCTCTTGGGTGGCTTAATCTTTATCAATCGACTGTTAACCAAAGTGGGGTGCTCCGCGCTGGAGTCACATAATGGGGGTATGGGAGCCACATAATGGGGGTATGGGAGCCACATAATGGGGGGTATGGGAGCCACATAATGGGGGTATGGGAGCCACATAATGGGGGTATGGGAGCCACATAATGGGGGGTATGGGAGCCACATAATGGGGGGTATGGGAGCCACATAATGGGGGGTATGGGAGCCACATAATGGGGGTATGGGAGCCACATAATGGGGGTATGGGAGCCACATAATGGATGGTATGGGAGCCACATAATGGGGGTATGGGAGCCACATAATGGGGGTATGAGAGCCACATAATGGGGGTATGGGAGCCACATAATGGGGGGTATGGGAGCCACATAATGGGGGTATGGGAGCCACATAATGGGGGTATGGGAGCCACATAATGGGGGTATGGGAGCCACATAATGGGGGGTATGGGAGCCACATAATGGGGGTATGGGGGCCACATAATGGGGGTATGGGAGCCACATAATGGGGGTATGGGAACACATAATGGGGGTATGGGAGTCACATAATGGGGGTATGGGAGCCACATAATGGGGGGTATGGGAGCCACATAATGGGGGTATGGGAGCCACATAATGGGGGTATGGGAGCCACATAATAGGGGTATGGGAGCCACATAATGGCGGTATGGGAGCCACATAATGGCGGTATGGGAGCCACATAATAGGGGTATGGGAGACACATAATAGGGGTATGGGAGCCACATAATGGCGGTATGGGAGCCACATAATGGCGGTATGGGAGTCACATAATGGGGGTATGGGAGCCACATAATGGGGGGTATGGGAGCCACATAATGGGGGTATGGGAGCCACATAATGGCGGTATGGGACCCACATAATGGGGGTATGGGAGACACATAATGGCGGTATGGGAGTCACATAATGGGGGTATGGGAGCCACATAATGGGGGTATGGGAGCCACACAATGGGGGTATGGGAGCCACATAATGGGGGTATGGGAGCCACATAATGGGGGGGTATGGGAGCCACATAATGGGGGTATGGGAGCCACATAATGGCGGTATGGGAGCCACATAATGGGGGGTATGGGAGACACATAATGGCGGTATGGGAGTCACATAATGGGGGTATGGGAGCCAAATAATGGGGGTATGGGAGCCACACAATGGGGCTATGGGAGCCACATAATGGGGCTATGGGAGCCACATAATGGGGCTATGGGAGCCACACAATAGGGGTACGGGTAATCCCTTAGAGGCCTGTAATCCTAAATAAGGTTCAGATCCTCAGCACCAGAGGGAGAGGCCGTAGAAACCAGTAAAACGTGTTAACAAAAGTAGAGATCACTGGAAACCACGAGTCGGGAGTCACTCCAGTGGACAACCGACAGCAGGTAAGGCAGGGCTCAAGAGTCAGCGCCCGACCCGGCCAACACAATTAGGTGAATACATTCAGGAAAGTGTACGACAGTCTGAAACAAAATTTCATCTTACTGCTGCCTCACCTTAGTCGTGTTTGCTCAGTCCATGTTATGACCTACCAGCCTCGCCCGCCCCTCTGACCCACACACACACACACACACACACACACACACACACACACACACACACACACACACACACACACACACACACACACACACACACACAGGGAATCTTTCAGAACCTTGTATACCACATATGTAAGACTAATCCTGGAGTATGCGGCCCCAGCATGGAGCCCGTACCTTGTCAAGCACAAGACGAAGCTGGACAGAGTTCAGAGGTATGCTAGGCTAGTCCCAGAACTAAGAGGCATGAGTTACGAGGAAAGGCTGCGTGAACTGCTCTTCACGTCGCTGGAAGACAGAAGAGCTCGGGGAGACATGATCACCACATAGAAAATTCGCAGGGGAATTAACATGGTAGACAAAGATGGATTATTTAACACGGGTGGTACACGAACAAGGGGACATAGGTGGAAGCTGAAAACCCACATGAGCCTCAGAGACGTTAGAAAGAACTTTTTCAGTGTCAGGGGAATGCAGGTGGAATAACAGGTGGAATGCATTAAGCAGTGATGTGGTGGAGGCTGACTCCATACTCAGTTTCAAATGTAGATATGATAGAGCCCAATAGGCTCAGGAATCTGTACACCAGTTCATTGACAGTTGAGAGGCGGGACCAAAGAGCCAGAGCTCAACCCCCGCAAGCTCAACTAGGTAAGTGCACACACACACACACACACACACACACACACACACACATACACACACACACACACACACACACACACACACACACACACACACACATACACACACACACACACACACACACACACACACACACACACACACTGCCGGACCTGTAATGTGTTACTGCTGTAAGCAGGTTCACAACCAACTGGTCCTGGGTTAGTGTCCCGGGCAGGGCTGGGGATAAGACTTGCGGTCCTCTTACCGTGTTCCTCCGGTGTTCAGAGAGGTTCCCTCTAATATTTTCCCATCTGCAAATTATTACTCTCTCTCTCCCGCCTGTGATCTAGCGAATACAGATTTAAACATGTTAATCGGTCCCAATAATCTAGACGTTTTATTGAGTGGATTCTAGCGGTAAAAGATCTTTGCACGCTAGTGTTGACTGAAGGATAGGCCGCTGCTGTGACCTATCCTGGGGTAGTTTCCATCTAGATTCAACCCCTCTCCTCTACCCATCGAGCCTATTTTTAAAACTAACTCTGCCATTTAGAAAAAACTTAAATGCTTGAGTCTAAAGCCAGCCACAAATATATAATAAAATATTCAAACAGTGGAGTTAGATTTTATCTCATGTGGATCCCTTCCCATATTGGCCTCCGAATGCACGGGCTCGCCATAGCCTGTGCTACTTGGAACTTTTTGTTCCAGGTAGCGAATCTTAAACAACAACAACATGATAGAACTGATGAGTTAGCCACAGCATGTGCTCTTAAAGACGGAGTTAAACACCTGCATTTTGCATTGCCTTTAAACAGCCTGGGATCTACAACATAATCCAGTAGACTTGAGACGAAGTGAAATTCACGCTACCTATTCCATCTCTCATCATAACATTATGCTAGAGCCACAGATCTGTGGATCATCTAACAATGTCAACAGACGTCAAGTATGTTTATTGAGAGAAGAAGAAAATGCATCTCAAAGGGATAGAGTAGCTTAGGCTATATCTACCCCCAAGAACAGACGTCAAGCCATTACTTACTGCTAGAGTTAAGGGTCGACTACAACTACCTCTGGGAGTGCAGAAGAACATCTCACCAAGTGTAAACACTGTCCGCAGAACCACTTACGCCTTATGCACTTAATTGAATGTGAAAAGTGTTTCAGAATTCAGAGATAACTTCATTAAAGTGTTCAAGAAATGTGAAATTCATTCATAATGTACCACCAGAAATCTCAGGTAAATATACAAAATTTGCTTATTGTAGGAAGTGCATGAACGTGACTAAACCTTCCACAGCTGGTCCCGAGGACAGCTGTGGTGCAGCTGGTCCCGAGGACAGCTGCGGTGCAGCTGGTCCCGAGGACAGCTGTGGTGCAGCTGGTCCCGAGGACAGCTGTGGTGCAGCGGGTACCGAGGACAGCTGTGGTGCATCGGGTACCGAGGACAGCTGTGGTGCAGCTGGTACCGAGGACAGCTGTGGTGCAGCTGGTCCAGAGGACAGCTGCGGTGCAGCTGGTCCCGAGGACAGCTGTGGTGCAGCTGGTCCAGAGGACAGCTGTGGTGCAGCTGGTCCCGAGGACAGCTGTGGTGCAGCAGGTACCGAGGACAGCTGTGGTGCAGCGGGTACCGAGGACAGCTGTGGTGCAGCTGGTCCCGAGGACAGCTGTGGTGCAGCTGGTACCGAGGACAGCTGTGGTGCAGCTGGTCCCGAGGACAGCTGTGGTGCAGCTGGTACCGAGGACAGCTGTGGTGCAGCTGGTCCCGAGGACAGCTGTGGTGCAGCTGGTACCGAGGACAGCTGTGGTGCAGCTGGTCCCGAGGACAGCTGTGGTGCAGCTGGTTCACTACAGCTGTAAAGTGCTCGGCTCAGAGGCTGTTGTGGGCCAGGTTCTCCAGCCATCTGTGCTATAAAAGAACATTTACAAAACATTAAACAGTGTAACTAGCCTCACAAACGTGCCACTTGCTGAGCTAAATGAAGTTTGGCGTTCAGTTCCCCACTACCACCCACCGGATGGGAATAGGGTGAATAATAAATGAACTCAATCATTCATTTGCTTCAATGTCGGTGACCGGCAACCTTGTTCTATTTGTCTAACTCCTCGTTGACAAACCGGGAGTTAGTCCGGCAAACTTCCCCATAACCTTCTTGAACCTGAACTTCTCTAACTCGTATATCTAGTGTTAGGAATTCTGACCCGGGGTCTGATATTTTCAAGACCAATTCTCTCCCGATCATTCCCCCTCATAAACTTTGAAGATCTTGATCATGTCTCCCCTCACCTTGTGCCTCTTCAGGGAATGCAGGTCGTGCTTCCTCGACCTCTCCTTGAGTATGAGGTCCCCCAATGCCAGTGGTCCGTCTGGTCATCTAAAATGGATTTCCTCAAGAGAAGGGAAGCCCACTCTCACACGGTGACCAGAACTGGCTGGCATAGTCGTAGTGGGAAGGCTTCACTATGCCTAAATATAATTGCAGAACGATATCTGAGTGTATTGCAGAAGCTTCCGGTTAGAAAACTTAACATTTTTATTCATATTGCTTTGGCACGTTGCTATAGTGTTGGGCAAGGTCCAAGGTCACTGCATGTCATCACTTCTAAAACAGTTTTTTTGCAACATGATTTGGCCAAATCTGCACCATTCATAAAGTAGACGGTGCTAGTGTTTAGGACTTTGCACTTATTAACGTTGAACTCTATATGCCACTTTTCTGCCCAATTGTCCTCATTCGAGTGGCATGGTGCTGGTTTGGTGCTGGTATGGTGCTGGCATGGTGCTGGCATGGTGCTGGTATGGTGCTGGCATGGTGCTGGTTTGGTGCTGGTATGGTGCTGGCATGGTGCTGGCATGGTGCTGGTATGGTGCTGGCATGGTGCTGGCATGGTGCTGGTATGGTGCTGGTATGGTGCTGGTATGGTGCTGGTATGGTGCTGGCATGGTGCTGGTATGGTGCTGGTATGGTGCTGGCATGGTGCTGGCATGGTGCTGGTATGGTGCTGGCATGGTGCTGGCATGGTGCTGGTATGGTGCTGGCATGGTGCTGGCATGGTGCTGGAATGGTGCTGGCATGGTGCTGGCATGGTGCTGGTATGGTGCTGGCATGGTGCTGGTATGGTGCTGGCATGGTGCTGGTATGGTGCTGGCATGGTGCTGGCATGGTGCTGGTATGGTGCTGGCATGGTGCTGGCATGGTGCTGGTATGGTGCTGGTATGGTGCTGGCATGGTGCTGGCATGGTGCTGGAATGGTGCTGGCATGGTGCTGGCATGGTGCTGGCAAGGTGCTGGTATGGTGCTGGCATGGTGCTGGCATGGTGCTGTTATGGTGCTGGTATGGTGCTGGTATGGTGCTGGCATGGTGCTGGCATGGTGCTGGTATGGTGCTGGCATGGTGCTGGTATGGTGCTGGTATGGTGCTGGCATGGTGCTGGTATGGTGCTGGTATGGTGCTGGCATGGTGCTGGTATGGTGCTGGCATGGTGCTGGCATGGTGCTGGCATGGTGCTGGCATGGTGCTGGTATGGTGCTGGCATGGTGCTGGTATGGTGCTGGCATGGTGCTGGTATGGTGCTGGTATGGTGCTGGCATGGTGCTGGCATGGTGCTGGTATGGTGCTGGCATGGTGCTGGCATGGTGCTGGCATGGTGCTGGTATGGTGCTGGCATGGTGCTGGCATGGTGCTGGTATGGTGCTGGCATGGTGCTGGCATGGTGCTGGCATGGTGCTGGCATGGTGCTGGTATGGTGCTGGCATGGTGCTGGCATGGTGCTGGTATGGTGCTGGTATGGTGCTGGCATGGTGCTGGCATGGTGCTGGTATGGTGCTGGTATGGTGCTGGCATGGTGCTGGTATGGTGCTGGCACGGTGCTTGTATGGTGCTGGCATGGTGCTGGTATGGTGCTGGCATGGTGCTGGTATGGTGCTGGCATGGTGCTGGTATGGTGCTGGTATGGTGCTGGCACGGTGCTGGTATGGTGCTGGCATGGTGCTGGCATGGTGCTGGCATGGTGCTGGTATGGTGCTGGCATGGTGCTGGTATGGTGTAATGGTGCTGGCATGGTGCTGGTATGGTGCTGGCATGGTGCTGGTATGGTGCTGGTATGGTGCTCCTGGAGAGGTCTCCGGGCGGTGCTGGAGAGAAAACAGCCAATGGTGAGGCGCTGGATGGTGAGGCGCCGGATGGCGAGGCGCCGGATGGTGAGGCGCTGGTTGGTGAGGCGCTGGATGGCGAGGCGCTGGATGGCGAGGCTCTTGATGGCGAGGCGCTGGACGGCGAGGCGCTGGACGGCGAGGCGCTGGACGGCGAGGCTCTGGACGGCGAGGCGCTGGATGGCGAGGCGCTGGATGGTGAGGCGGTGGTTGGTGAGGCGCTGGATGGCAAGGCGCTGGATGGCAAGGCGCTGGATGGCGAGGCGCTGGATGGCGAGGCTCTGGATGGCGAGGCGCTGTATGGCGAGGCGCTGGATGGCGAGGCTCTGGATGGCGAGGCTCTGGATGGCGAGGCGCTGGATGCTGAGGCTCTGGATGGCGAGGCTCTGGATGGCGAGGCTCTGGATGGCGAGGCGCTGTATGGCGAGGCGCTGGATGGCGAGGCTCTGGATGGCGAGGCGCTGGATGCTGAGGCTCTGGATGGCGAGGCGCTGGATGGCGAGGCGCTGGATGCTGAGGCTCTGGATGGCGAGGCGCTGGATGGCGAGGCGCTGGATGGCTAGGCTCTGGATGGCGAGGCGCTGGATGGCGAGGCGCTGGATGGCGAGGCGCTGGATGGCGAGGCGCTGGATGGCGAGGCTCTGGATGGCGAGGCGCTGGATGGCGAGGCGCTGGATGGCGAGGCGCTGGTTGGCGAGGCGCTGGATGGCGAGGCTCTGGATGGCGAGGCTCTGGATGGCGAGGCTCTGTATGGCGAGGCTCTGGATGGCGAGGCGCTGGATGGCTAGGCACTGGATGGCGAGGCGCTGGATGGCGAGGCGCTGGATGGCGAGGCGCTGGATGGCGTGGCGCTGGATGGCGAGGCGCTGGATGGCGAGGCTCTGGATGGCGAGGCTCTGGATGGCGAGGCTCTGGATGGCGAGGCGCTGGATGGCGAGGCTCTGGATGGCGAGGCTCTGGATGGCGAGGCTCTGGATGGTGAGGCTCTGGATGGCGTGGCTCTGGATGGCGAGGCGCTGGATGGCGAGGCGCTGGATAGCGAGGCTTCGATG